TTGAGGACCTTACCGGGCCTCATGTTACAGCCTGATGAAAGACACTGTCAGTTTATCTGTATCCAGCTTTCTATTTTGCAAAAATAATCTATTGTACATCAGGCATGTTGTTGTTTGATGTGTCACATGTGCTGCATTTTGAATCAATTGAGGGATCTTTAATCATATGGTCAGCACCTACTGTTATAATATATGTAACCTGGGGGGGCTCTCATTTTTAGACATCAAAGCAGACTCATGTAAACCCAGAAAGAAATTAATGAATAAATAATGATAATTATATTTCCATTGGAAATTAAAAAAAAGTCCCCTTTTAGTTTTAATATTGTTCTCTGTAGGTACTGTTTTTTTTTCTTGCACCTTGAAATAAGGTGATGCTTTCTCGTATTTAATTAGTTCCTAGATCAAAGGGGAAGTAACTGTGAGGGAGACATACATTCTCCTACCTCATCTGACTTTACTTAAAGTGCACTCACTGTTACGCGTCGTGCGTAATTTCCAGCTTACGATGCCAAAGAAAAAAGATCGACTCTGCGCATCCACCGGGGCCGTTTTTCTTTTTTTTTTCTTAAACTTGTCTATAGGAATTAGGCGTCTTTCCCCACCACATATTGTTTTCTCCCCCCGCATTTGTGGTGGGAGCTGGTAAGGTGGGTTAACTCTAGCTCAAGTCTCCGTAAAAGCGCAGAGCACTGATGACGTTGGGCCGGATGACCAATCGGGAGGCGCTGCCCTTTGGAGACAAACCATTTTACTTGTAGTGTCTGCATCAAGTCTGCAAGCGAGGGCTCAATTTTAACAGAATCCACCTTAAAATCTCTCCCTTAACTTATGCCTACCTTCTGCCACTTTGAGTGAGAATACCGCAGTATAAGAGAGGTGGGGGGGATAAACACGGCATCGGGAAATTTGGGGTGTTAATAGGAGAACCGGGTGGGGGGGAGGAAGAGACAACAGCACAGCGAGAGAGCGAAAAAACGATTTGGTCTTGAGAGAGGAGGGGGTGGGGGGGTGAGTGCTCTCAAGGCAGAAAATTCGATGATGACCATGACAACGATGGCTGACGGTCTGGAGGCTCAGGACTCGTCCAAGTCCGCGTTCATGGAGTTTGGGCAGCAGTCGCACTCGCAGCAGAGCTCCCCGTCCATGGCCGGCGGCCACTACCCGCTGCACTGCCTCCACTCCGGCTCTCACGCTCACCACCAACACGACAGCAGCGCTTACCCCGGGACCAACACCTATAACAGGTCGCTACCTTATCCTTACGTGAGCCATCCGCACCACAGCCCCTACCTGCCTTCCTATCACAACAACGCGGGAGGACAGACGCGGTTAGACGGCGCAGGTAAGAGACCCCCTCCAGCTTTGTTCAGCTAATTGCAATTAAATGCATACCTGTTTTGTGCTCTTTGCGGCCCGGATCGAACCTTAATATCTCACTGATCCAACGCCTGGGGCGAGCTTTTTCCCCCCTTCCTTCCGTGCGTAAAAACGCTCCGGGTAAAAATCCAGGAGCAACCTTGTTCGCCTGCTTCTTTGTTGCTTATTTGTGTTTTTTCCAGCACTCCCCTCCACAAAACCTCTGATTTAATGCACTGGGTGTGATCATCTCGACCACGCAATCCTCACCAACTACTCGTGAAAATTAGGCAGCCTGCACGCCTCGAATGTTGTAATTAGCATTTAATTGACATGTCATTACCAGCAATATCCTAAATATGACAGCGCATGAGGATTGTGGCTGCAGGAAAACCAGAGAATAGAGAGGGAGAGATGTCAATGTTTTATCATCTTCATTAATTTTCATTTTTTCCTCAGCTTCTATTCTTTGTAAATCGGATAATCCAAAGTATTTTTTTTAAAGTATAATGGTATTCTTGTGTGGCTTTTCTGGATTAATAGCATTGCTTGTTTTTGTTGCAGAGCAGCAGAAGACGACAGTGATTGAAAACGGAGAGATTCGGTTCAACGGGAAGGGCAAAAAGATACGCAAGCCGCGGACCATCTATTCCAGTTTGCAGCTGCAGGCGCTGAACCACCGTTTCCAGCAAACCCAGTACCTCGCCTTGCCCGAGCGGGCTGAACTGGCCGCCTCTCTGGGACTGACGCAAACACAAGTAGGGCGCAAATTTTTGCATTTATCATTTGTAGCAGCAGCTTTTGCATGAAAGGCCTATCTTTTTACAGCCTCTCGCACAACTTCATCCACTTATCCAAAAAAGAATAAATGTTAAAAAGAAAAAAATTATTAATATTAACTGGTGAAGTAAGGGTTTTGTCAATTTTCTAGTCTTAATCAAATGCTGGTATTATAACAACAGATTATTCAAACTGAACCTTCTTTTTCATGTTTAAAAAAATAAAAAATATATATATATATATTTTTTATAATGCCATAGTGATTAAATTGTGCCATGAAAAGTGTAAATTAGGTACAATTGGTCAAATCCAGTTCTGATCTTATATTGCTACTCCTACACAGCTCCCAAATCATAACAAAGAGTTAGAAATCCTGTTTGTGGCACCCCACCTGATTTGCAGCCCTGGGCAGAGAGCCATACCCCTAAACCAAAACCACTGCTGATAATTTGCAATAATGACTAAATTAAATGTCCTTTTTTTCCCTAACAGGTAAAGATCTGGTTTCAAAACAAGAGGTCGAAATTCAAGAAGCTGCTAAAACAAGGTAGCAACCCGCACGAGAGTGACCCCATCCCGGGCTCCATGTCCCTATCCCCGCGCTCCCCGACCATCCCTCCGATCTGGGACGTCTCGGCCTCTTCCAAAGGAGTAAACATGCCGGCCAACAGCTACATGCCCGGCTACTCTCACTGGTACTCGTCTCCACATCAAGATTCAATGCAGAGATAGACTGGCGAGGCCCAAACAGAGGGCTCAGTTAAAAAAAAGCTATCTGCATGGAGGCCCTTTTCTGCAGGATCCTATCCCCGTGCAGTACTTTTTTCCGCAAGGTAGCCTACAATTTGGACCCTGCAGAGGAGCAAGAAGGTGCTGCTCATCTACAGGAGGATTTAAACCAGCCAAGCCTTGGTGCGGGTACACAAACAAGGGGACTTCTCGTTGTTTCAAGCGTACGTGGCTGTTCAGTGCGCACGTTTTTGTCATGCTTTCATTCATGTCTACATCTGAATATACCAAATATTACCAGTGACATTTTTTGGGCATGAGAGGCAAAGACTGTCCCCTACCCGTGCGCCATTACGCAAAGAAAGCCCTTTTCTTTAGCACCCACGGACTGCATTTTATTTGATTTTCCAACATGCAAAACCAAGCAAAATTGTCTGTAAATATATTCTACGACTTTAGTTGTACATACACTTTTTATGTTTTGTCAGAATGAGTAAAACCGTGACTCTAAACAAGACGCCTTCTGTTTGCATGATTTCCAGCAAGAAAAACAAAATGGCATTCATGTGAGGCCTTTTTAGTCATTTTTATATTGGGCCAACATCACATCAGTGCATCACTAATGACGCATTAAAGTTTATAAGACGGTGCTCAAAAAATAAAACATTTCATCAAGCATTTTAGATAAACCATTGGTGAGGAAGAAACGCCAGAATATAGAATCAAATGCACTCACTCAACGCCAGAGGAAATGAACTTACCCCCGAAATACATTTGCTCCAGGTCCAGCTCATCTCGTCGCTTCACCCACAATCATTAGAAGTATTGACAAAATGTTTTCTCCCTTCCCTCCGTCCTAAAATGCCAAGCTCCACAGGGATCGATGCTTGAACAAAGCAGCCAGCTGCAGCAGCGTTCAATATGAAGGAGATATTTGGGACAATTTGTGCGTTTTTATCCAAGTGAGCCCTTTTTCTCTCTTTTTTTTTTACCACCCCTCCATTCTCATAAATGCAGGCATAATTAGGGTAATTTTTGATGTAGCCCCGCTGATTACAGCGTTTTTACCGTCAAAGATAATTACCTGTAATTTTCTACCACTTTTAATACTAAAAAGCCATCTTTATTTGGATTTGAGGTAGCAACGGATGGAACAAAAGGGGGGGAAATTATTCGGTTATTCATATACAAATTGTCAGAGAGAGGAGAAGGCGCACGGCTCGGGGTATTATCTGAAATTACGACTTCAGAAAAAAAAAAGGCTCCGTGCAGCTGTCAAAGTCGCGGATGTCCCACAGGCACCCATTCTGCTTCTTTTTACCTGCATGGTGGCCCCCACGGTTAGGTACGGAGGCCCTCTGTATAACCGGGCTGCAGGGAGCCAGTAGCTGCGGTTGAGTAAACATCAACACAGCTCATAAAGATGGAGTTTGGCACAATGAGGAGAATGCAAAAAACTGTTTGTAGAGAAATGGATGTGTTGCATAATGTTTTGCTTAGATAAAGATAGATAGATGATAGATAGATAGATAGATAGATAGATAGATAGATAGATAGATAGATAGATAGATAGATAGATAGATAGATAGATAGATAGATAGATAGATA